ATTTCAGTCATTGACTACTTTGTGGAGTATTCTCTTCATGGTTTATATTAATGTGTTGCAATTGTGTACTCCTCTAGCTCCGTCAATTATTTTGTGGACAGATTTTGTATTTTTGATTATTGCCTTTGTACTCATTGTTTCTTTCAAGGGTAACTTTAGTCCTGTCTTGGTGAATAGTAAATAAAATTGAAGACCAATCTTTCAGGAACCACAAAAGTTACCGTTACGAATGTTGATGATTTTTTTTAAAAATTTAGAAAAAAAATAAAATATTCTTTAACGAATTACACGTTGATATTTTCCTTCAGGTACATTCAACAGATTTATCTTCAAGGTGTTGAAGTGGGGAATGATACTATGAAACAACAAGTGTGAATTATGTAAAGGCTGATTTCCTTCAACATGGTGAAAGTTTATTCTTGCTGTTGTTGGTCATCCTCTTCGAAGAGTAATTCATCTTGATCAGCTTCGTTCATATCTTCCAAGGCAAATTCGTACCTTTCCAAATCTCTCTTGAGTTGGGTAGAGTTGAATCCATGAACCATTCCACATCCTTTTAATCATCATCATAAGATATCATCAAATAATAATATTACATTCCAGTGATGAAGAAGAAAACTTACCAACACAAACATGGAGAGAAACTCCATCACCATCTGTTAATGCTGTCAGCTGTGGAGTTTGACCAGAGACTGTTCTACCATTTGGAAACTCCAAATACATGCCATCACTGTTACCATTACAAACAAAGATGAATTCGGAGCCACCACAGTGAGCACAGGTCTTGTCGGATGATGTTTTGGCTGATTTTGCTTCTGTTTCGTCCGAGTCTTCACCTAAAGTGGTGGTGTTTTGATTTCTCTTTCTCTTCTTGAAAGTTTCCACATAGTCTACTGGAATAATCTTTAATGATTCATTCCTGATGGTTGAATAAATATTGGAAACACTCAGTAAATCACAATGATTGTACAGAGAGACATCATTCAGAAAATCCTTCTTTTCCAAATTGTATCTATCACAAATTCTTTCATAATTCTTGTGAATCTTTTCCAAGTCTGACTTGTAATAGTTTTTGATTAAATGTTGAAGACGAGTAGGATCGTGAGGCATTTTGTTTTGTTACGTAATCAAAAGTTACTACTGTGTCCCGTTGCTTAATTTGGAAGCATCTTTTGAGGCAGGACCATTTGAATTTGGAAGTACATTCGAGGCACAAAGTAGCATTGGTCGGTTAAACTTTGCACATTCATGGATTAATTGTTTCACAAAAATCCAGTATTAAAATATAAGCAATTATTGTTCTTGAGATGTTCATTTCATTCCAAATGAACGTGAAGCGTCGATGGTTTAGTGGTAGAATACGGCGTTGCCATCGCCGTGACCCGGGTTCAATTGTATGTTTGAATGTTCCATATATAGTAAACCGTCTCCCGTTACCCAATTTCATTTTTTTAAAAAAATTAAAAAATTTTAAATGCGTCGACCAGTTTATAACACACATACAACATTCCCAAAAAGGAAAAGCGACTCCCGGTATCAAATAATTAATATTAAATACATTTATTGTTGTTGTTCTTGAATGGTACCTTTCCAAATATGGTGAATCGACTCACGGGTACCCTACTTCAACACATTTACACGTTGTTCATTATTCAATATTGTAAACTATTTAAATATTAAATATAATATTCCTAAAAAGGAATTTCAATTCCCGGTCGACGCAGTCATAACATTAATTTTTAATCATCATAACAATTGAGTCACTCATTGTTTCAAATTGTAACCTAGGCATACCATTATACAATATTCTCAATTTTTGAATTTTAATAATTTATATTGAGCTATATATAAATCAAAGTTTGTACCTCATTTTTTTTAAATGCCTCAAACCCGATGAACTTTTCTAAAAAAAAATGAAACGAGAACTTTTTACTTCCTTACCTCCAGAAATTCTTCTCTTGATAATGAAGTTTATTAGGAATGATCAAGATGATGATTTGGATATTCTTGGGTATCATTGGGATATGTTTAATATGCAATGCATATGCAGGATCTTGATGATTATTTTGATGAGTTTTGGTGGAATTATTTCATGATGAAATTTAAATTGTTTAGATATGAATGTGATGTGGACAAGGAATTGGACATGGAAACCTGGAAAGATGTACAGAATTTGAAACAGAAAAAGGAAATGAAGGATACACTCTATTTCAGACAACACCATCATGAGTTTGAAGCAATTTACAAAATTCTTTCCAATCCAAAGGTTTCAATGCGAAGAAAAGTTTTAATTTCGTGCATGAAGAGAAAATTAAGGATGAAATCCAAACCAGAAAAGGAAATGTTTGCTCTTCTTTTGGGAATTGACAATGTTGGAAAGAGGTGTATTGTGAGGCGAGTTGCTGATGGATTATTTGATAGATCGCCTAATAGGAAGATATTGTCTTCAAGGAGGATAAAATTAGAGATTGATGGTGTAGAATTGACTATTAGAGTTAAAGAACTAGGTACGAAAATATAATTTGAATGTAATTTTAACATTCTAATAATGGAAAAAGATTATTATGAAGTGCAAGACGAAAAGGAAAAAAGAGAAGAAGAAGTTAGGAAAATGTGTACGGAACAGTCGTGTTTCGTGCTTGTTTGTAGCTTGGATCAAAAGGATTCAGTCCAAAGTTTAAACAAGATTCTTTGTGATATAATTCGTTTTAAAAAACGAAACTC